AACTCAGGAAATCATGAGAACATTAGAAAGGTGAGCATTCTCCTGTGTGGGAGACAGGTTCAGTCTGCAGTTAATAAATTCCTTCACAAGTAAAACTATAACAAACCTTTCTGCTTGTGCTGAATACAATTTGACCTTGCCTTCTTCAACCTTCAGCAAAGCAATGGATGTACTAAGCAGATGTATATGAGTTCTTTAGAAGAGGCTGTGTGTGCTTTTTCTTTTTAACTGGCAGGAAGTTGAAATGGCAGCATTTGTGGAGCTGTAACGTGCTCAGCTTAGTGCAATAGGAGAATATACTCAGAATACTCTAAGGGAAAATCTGGTTTAAAGATATAGAAAATACATCCTCGGAAGGAGAAGGGGACACATCACTGTTATCTGTTTTTCTTTGCCTTTTTTTTTTTTCCCAGTAATAACATTAAGGTTACCTCATGAGCTGAGGCTTACTGTGCATGATACTAACATTTTTATCACAATTGTTTAGATATTAGGATAGTAACTCCCTTGCTGCAATGGTTTTTCAGTAATCACAGCCTTTCCTTTATTGTTTGGGGTTTTTTTGGTTTTTTTTTGTATTTTTGGGGGGTTTACTTTGTTTTTGTGTTTTTCGTGTTGCACCATGGATTACATGAAGTGTTTAATTCTCAGAACAGAGGTTTTATTTTGTTCTTGCCTCTTTGGCCCATTTTTATGTAGATGAAAATGATTTGAAAAGTTTTGCAGCACCTTGCAGAAACCCAGTAGTGTATCAGCTGGCAGCAAGACTGCTTCAGGTTTCTGCTGTAGTGCTGCAGATAATATCAACTGTAGCAATGCTCTTCCTATGCCAACAGCCCTTGATCAAAGGACATTGAGAGGTTAAAAGAAATGGGTGTGGTAGCAAAAACATCCTTGACCTTAAGATTGGGGTATCTGGAGTTCAGAGAACAGGACTTTATTTGATTTGATTTATTTCACAAGGGAGGTGAAAGCAACTGTGAGAAAAGGGCTAAGGAACCTCAGGAAGAATCAGGATTTACTGACCAAACACTGAAATGTAGCCATTTGCTGCACTGTATAATTGTAATAAGCAAAGAGAAGAATGTTAGAATGACACTTACATTTACCATTCTGTTAGAAATCTCTTTTTGGTTGCTTTGGTATTTACCTCTGGCTAAGCCTCTGCCTATCCCTTATCAGATATTCATTTGATGGATGAATAGGTGCTTACCAGCTGCTACAATACACCACTCTCTGGTGTTATATCTGAATATGTGTCATAGAACTTTACATTTGTGACAGCAGTGTAATTCAGGGAAGGGGAACTTCTGTCAGTTTCTGTCAACTGCCCTTGCCTTACCTTTTGCAGATACTCTTTGTATCTGTGCTCTTAAGCAGAATATTGCTCATTCATATTTATTTAGCATAAAGCGAAGTCTGATTATTCTGTGGGTTTACTTAGTGTAAAATGAAGTCTGTGTTGTAAGATCTTCATTCTTTAAAGATTAACAGTTGTCATGTTTGCTAAAGGGAGATCAGTCTGTGCAGTGTCATTCTGCAGTAAGGTCCCTTGTCTGCTTTAAGATGTAAATGAACAAATATGAGGCAACCATTGCTTGTTTCAAGCATTTATGGCTGTGTTTAGTCTTCTGAACAGTCACACAGAATATCCCCTAAATCTTTAAGAAAGTGTGCTCTTGCAAGATAGTGTAATTTAATACACTTCTAATCAGCATCTCCCAGTTTCTCCTTGCCATCTCAAATAGCAGCCTTGTGTTAAATGGCTGAGTGCTGCAGATGTTAGGGGAATTGTGCTATTAGTAAAGTCAACAGTGTCTGCATTCTGGGTTACTGAATATGGCTGAGCTCTAAAGGTAAATGGGTTGCTTCATAAACTTCAGTGATGGGGTTGGAGCAGACAAATCTATCAGTACTGCTGCCCAAGATCACTTTGTATATATTACATTTCCAGAAATCTTCCAGCAGTGGTTTAGGAGTGTCCTCCCCAAGATATTTGCTCTTCCTTTCTTTTCTCATCAGCCCTACAGTGATGGTGCATTTATATTGGGTGCAAGCACTGAGATGCAGGCACTTGTTTCCTTCTGTCACAGGAAGGCAGAGGAGCATAGCAAACATGACTAGCAAAGGTTTGAAATAATACTGCTGTTTCCTCAATGCATGTGAGCTGGATTTAAGCTTATAAACAGACTGTTGGCCTTCCTGCTGGTGAGGAAAGACTCTGGATCATGTTATAACATCCTGGCATCTCAAGCTTTACCCTACTACAGGTCCCAGAAGAAGCCATTTTGACTTCTGTTATCTGCTCTGTCTCCAGCAGCTTGTTCCTTTGTCAGTTAACCCCTCATTTGATTAAATATATATTAAATTAATCACTAACTTATCCTTTTCTGCATGCCATTCAAAATGTGGTAACACGGTGCCATCTATAGGAAGGAGTGGTGGGGACGCCAAGAAACATGGGAGAAAAAGGAGAATGATGGCATGCCTCTGAAAAGGGGATGGTTTGTGCCTTTTTTAAAGTGTTTAGAAACTGTGGCTTCAGTGTCAACTAATGCAGGCACTTGTTAGCCTGAAGCAATGCATGTAGGAGGTGAGAACCTCTCATTGCAATGAGTATTGATTCTGGAATTCAGGGAGAGCCATTCTGCCAGATTTCAGTCAATTGCTTGAGTACACTATCCTGAGATGTGCTTACTCTATAATTTCCACCCCCACACCTCCCAACTTCTGTCACCTGTGCAGGGTTTGAACTGAATGGATAAAAATAACTGATATATTTTATTTCAACTCCTGTCAGCTATTTTTTACTGTTATTTTCCATATCAACAACTGTTCCTGTAAGATTTATTTTGCATGACACATGATCCCAGAACCATGCCCCTGGGTTTGGGCTGAGCTCAGTGTGAGCCAGTGTCAAAGTGCTGGTCCTTGGTGCTGATAGGTATTTTTTATCTCAGAGTCAGTGTTTAGTTGTTTATGCTGTTCCTGGTACTGAAGATGCTCTGATTTCAGGATTATTGCACGGTCACACTGATGCCTGTCAGGATGTGCATCACCTCTGCCAGGCACCCTCGAGATGCTGCTCTGTGCTTGGCAGGCTTTGTGCAGCAATACAGAGCATCACGCGGGCAGAGGAATGTGGGATGATCTTCCACAGTCCTTGCTGGCTTCTTCTGTAGTGAAAGAACTTTGACTTCAAAACCTACCATTTGCTAAGCCCTCCTCCAGCAGTTAAATCCAGTTACAAGATGCTAAAGTTGACAAATGGCAATGAAATGGAACATTAAGGCAAGGGAAACACTGGATGTGTTGTCAAAGCTGTGTAAGCAGCTGTGGCTCATTGATTTTGCTTGATGGTGCAGGAGCATCGCACATCAGCATTTTCTTGGCTGTTTCCCCATCATTTGGCAGAAAAGGTCACCTTTTTAACTTCCCCATTAAAGACTCTTGATCATGACAAGTGTTTTGTGAACACCACTGACAATTTCCCCAAGTCTGGAGCAAAGTGTCTTAGCTTTGAGATGACTGTGTCTCCTGTATGATGGAATCAGTGAGTCAGTGCCTTGTGCCTTTCTTGGATGTGCTTCATCAGATGCTCTTTAGCACTGTCTTCTTCAGTGCCCTTTAAAAAATATGATGGTATATTATTTTATCATTCTCTGCAGCCTATTTTGGTTGAAGATCTCAAAATAATCCGATTATGGACCTTAATGGGCAATTACTTAGTTTCATATGTTGTTCCCACTGGAAATTTACACGTAATACTTGAACAGAAGTTTAAGATTTATTTCAGAGGTTTGTTAAGGGTGACCCCAAAGTAGCCCCCCAACCCTTGTTTTGGGTAGATTTTGAGACGTTGTCCAGGATTTGCAAACCTCTTATGTCTTCCATGTTAAATACCTCTTAGCCCATGCCCAGAAAAACGCATGTGAGCAGCAGCAGCAGCAGCGGGGTCAGGTGCCCAGCACAGGTCACTGCTGGCTCTGTGTGAACACACCGCGCCTGGCAGTGTCTCAAAGGGCGCCGCTAAACACGCACAGGTCATTTGTGCATCTCACACACAATGGTTCATGCCTCTGAGGTTACTGTTAAATCTGTACAAAACTAATTACAGTGCCCTGCTATTATTTACAGTCATCGGTTACTTAAGACCGCAAGGGTAGCTGGAATAGCTGCCCTGCTACGTATCAGGGACTGCTTCCTCGCTGATTAATTGAGGGTAGCATCCTTCTTCCCTGCATGCACGGACTTCCTGCGGGAAGCAGGTGCCTCCTGCGGAGCGCGGGGAGCAACGGGCGCCCTGACGGCGGCACAGCGCCCTTCTCAGTTGTGCTAAAAGCGCGCACAGCCCCGTGAGAGGCAAGTCACGGCAGCGCTGGCTGCGCTCGGGGCCCGGCAGGGGCGGGGGAGTTGTTGCAGCGAGCAATGGCAATGGCTGTACCGCGCTGCACCTTCCCGTCCTGCCCCCGCTCGGCGCCGATCCCGCAGCCGCGGACCGGCACTAGGCCGGGCTTCTCTCAGGCTCGCCCGTCCGGGAGCGGCAGGAGCCGCACGGCCCCGGTGCCCTCAGCCCGCGGAGGGGCCCGGGCGGGACTCGAACCCGGGTCTGTCCCTGCGCGCACGCGCCCCCGCAGCCCCCGGGCGCGCGCCGCCCCCTCGCCGTGACGCCGCCGCGCGGTGACGCCTCGCGCTCCCTGCCCGTCACGGGGCCCGGCGCGCGCGGGGCGGAGCTCGCGGGCGGCAGCAGCGGCAGCCGCGGCGCTTCACGGCCGACGGGACCCCCGGCCCGGCCCGGCCCCGCCGCGGCCGCAGCGCCCCGAGGCACCTGCCCCGCTCCTCTCCGCCGCCGAGTCGCGTCGCTCCTTCCGCGCCGGCCTCGGCGCCGCCTGTCACCGTCCCCGCCGTGCTCCGGCGCGGGCAGGCCCCGGGCCCCTTCCCCCCCTCCCCCGGGGGGGTGGGCTCCGCTCCGGAATCCTGGCCGCTCCCTCCGCGCCGCCCGCCCAGCCGGGGCTGCTCCCGCCGCCGCCGGGAAGCGCGGGGGGTCCCCGGCGGCCGCCCGGCCTCCGCCGTGACATAGGTCGGTGCGCGGGGAGGGGGCGGGCGGGGGGCGGCCCCAGTGCGGGGAACCCCGGGGCGGGTTTGCCCGGGCGCCTGGCGGGGCCGCGGGGCGGGCCCGGCGTCGCGGAGGTGCCCGGGCCGGGGGCAGCGCGGAGCCGGCCCGGCGCAGGTGGAGCTGCGCGGCGGTGTGGTTGTTTGCGGTGCCGGGAGACGCACGCTAGTGTCGCTGGCTTACATTACCGCTGCAGTGTCTTAAGTGTTTTATGTGCCTGCCGAGTATTTCTGTGTCACCCTGAACCTTGCCGTGATTGCTCGCTGATGCCGCTGTGGTTTCTCGTCTTTGAATTGCTCTGCAGTGGTAGTGCTGTGAATTGGGTATGTAGGTCAAATTCTGCGAGATGTTTTTGTCAGGGGAAAAAGTGAATGTTGGATTATTTATTCCCGTGTTGCTTTTGAAGTGCATTGCAGCACCCACGAGGTTGGGAGGGTTTTTTTACCCTTTTTTTTTTTTTCACCCTTGGTTGCTCTTGCTTCATAAATCTCCTTTTAGTTTTTGGCTGTGGCATTACTGAAGATCAAAGCGCTGAAACAGCTGAGAGCTTCTAAGCTGTATTGTATCATGCGGTGTCCTCTAAGAGGGTGGTAAAAGATAATAGAAGCCTGCCTTGAAATAAGGGGGATTTCTAGTCCGCGCAGAAAATGCCTCTCAACTACAGCGTTTCTTTTCTTTAAACAATGCAGCACGTTGCAGAGCGTTGGAGGCCTAAGGAATTGTATTGCTGTGTATATGGCAGAGACGTAGCAGAGTGAATGGCTACAGGCTTGTCGTGCACAGCATCTTGGGTTCTCTCGTGGCACAGCACTCACTAACCAAATAGCCTAGAAAGTATTCTTTCCTGTGGAATTCCCTCTGGATATTTTTAAGGGAAGGGACATTGATGAGCTTTTTTTGCTATTTTTCCTGCTTTCACCTGTACTTTTCCTTACAGTGACTCTGTAAATAAGTGATTTCCTCAGCAATCTATTTTAAAATCAGAACTTGGTATAATTCTTGTTTCCTTTACACTGCATGTTCTATCATGCCACCAATCCGTATTGAACCCAGATTTGATTGAAGTAGCAAAGTTGTATATAATTAATTTGATTTTTTTCCCCCCAAGGTTTTAGTGTATGTTGATAAAGCAGAACAGGAAGATAACATTTGTCTGATTGACTCATTCCTTGAGAAGAAAAACCTGTGTAGAGTTTGCCTTGATGAGCTCTGTGTTGGTGTTTGAACAGGTGGTTTACCTGGCACTAATAGACGAGTAAGGTGAAGAAAACAGAAGATTTTGCACTGCTTGCCTTGGCTTGCTGAGATTTCTGAACTGTCTGAGGAATCTTTTTTTCCAAGATAGCTTGGTAATCTTAGGAGTTTTGTAGTAAATGTTATTAGGTAGAGAGCTGTGACAGAATTTAGTCATTGGGTGAAATGAGCATTATGTTTTTGTTCAATATCAGTAGGCAAGCTTTTTGTGTTGTTTGTGCTTTATGTTGATAAAATTAATTGATGGTAAAAATGAATAAACATTCAATTTTTTTTCAGTGGTTCTTTGCTATGAATGTTGGGAAAGCCAGTCAGGGCACAGGCTTGTGGAATTTAAAGCCCAGTGATTCTAAATGCAGGAGAGATTGTTTTGTTATAGTTTGCTCTGGAGAAAGCAAGTACAAGTTGGTCAAGCTGTAACTTTAGTCCACAGTTACAGTTTTTACTTCACATTTTTTCCTGATAATTTCCTAGAAGTTGTTCATATTTGGGTACAAATCAGGATGACTGCTTTTAAAAACCTTGTCATTAATAATAAGTATTTGTAGGGAACTATGAAGAAAAAAGCTTTGAAATCTCAGCAATCTAAAGTTGTATATTTTTTTCTTTCGTATTAAGGTAGGCTGACTTTTTACCTCAGCAAACTAAGTGAGAACTATTGAGTAATCTGGTTTTGTGAGAAGTTGTTCAGTGGCTCTCTAACTGAACTTAAAAGTAATGGTTTCTTATAAAATGCAGCCTGAGAATGATAATAGATTAATTTCCCTCATTTGTTCCCCCTCTTCCACAGCACACAGCCAATGGTCTTCTGATCTGTGGAGAGGTACCCATTTAGTTTGGAGTAGTGAACATACTTTCTAGTAATATCTTCTTAGATGTTTTGTTCTGCTAACAATATCCTTTGGAGAAAAGGAAATGAGTGATGAAAATTTGACTGATTGATGTATTTAAGTAGATCTTAAATACATTTGCAGAAAATGTCATGTGTTTTCGTATAGCTGACAAGCTAATGTAAATATGTATATTGCCTAGTGACTCTAGGTTTATCTAATTAGGCAGACTATTATATTTGCTGTCCTGAAAGTTCAATTTCTAAATGCAAGCTTTTAGAATTCTCAAGTAGAATTGACATAGTATTAAACTAAAAAAAAGAAAAAAATCCATAAATTCTGTTAAACACACTGATATTTTTGTGAAAAGAAAGAAAAATCTCTCTAGGAAGAAATGCTTCTTTTGCTATTTTAGTATTTTGTGTTTTGTAGTGCTAAGGTCAAAATAGATCATGCATGTTATAATTGCACACAGCTTGTAGAATAACATTGGAAACATGGGAACGTGTTCAGAATTCAGCATGTTATGTGTGATTCACTCCTCACTTCTGGATCTTGGCATGACATCTTGATTTAATAGCATGACAAATGAAGTTTATGGTTCTATGTAAACCCATTTTCTTAGACTAACCATGCTTATTTGCAGGGTTTTCTGGGATGTTTTAATATATGCATCTGAAATGTCATCTTTTAAAAGCAGCAGGAAGATTGGTGACAATGAGGAAATGAAAGATGGAGTTCTGTATTGTGATATTGCAGGGATTCTCCTGGGAAATGGGAACCCCTGCTCTAGAGATACTTGACCCACAAATACACATGTGGCACAGTTTAGGGCCCATCTTAATGAGGTTATTTGAAGTTGGACTTACTTGAGCAGGACCAAAGCAGAAGTATCTACATGTTCCTTTAAAAACTGGCCATTGGGAATTGGCAATGCAGGGAGTCCTGTAGAGATGTGCCTTTGTCCCATCTGTTTGTGAAGTATTACTTATGTGTACTTCTCTATCTCCAATTATTGCATATTTCTTAAGATATACCAGCATACTTTAACTCAGTTTTTCATGTGAGAGGAAAATAGTTTTCTTTAGCCTAAAGTATTTTTTCTTTGCTGTAACTTTGTTTTCAGCCATTTTTTTCTTTGAGTCCTGCACAATATCTTTCTCACTTGCTTCTCTTCCTGTATTTCCAGTCATCATTTGTGGATTATCTGCAGCAGTAAAAGATGCTGCTTTTTGTTTTCCTGAGATGATTTGTGCCAAGCACATGAGCAATCTGACAACAGCAATGCAATAAAATTCATATGCTTCTGATGTTTGTATTGGAAAGACTGTACTTGTGAAGCTCAGGTATGATAACACTGATGAACGTTTCTGATTTGGATGATGGATGTGTAAGAAAGGAAGGGATTTCATGAGGTCAGCCCCCACCAGAGGCAGAAGGAAATATGCTGAAAGCATGTGTGACAGACATTTGTCTCATCTTCTCTTAAAAAACTCAGAAGAGGGGAATACCACACCTCTTCACTGGTCTATTTATAGCTGGTACATATGACTATTGCTGTTGTTAGGAGGCTTTTCTTAACACTTAACTCTTGGTTAAGTGTCTTGGTGCTAGTTAAGCCATTTAATTCTCATCCAACTCTTACCACTCATGCAGGATAATGGTTTCTGTGCTCTTTTCACCAAGTCTTCATACCTGAAGACTCTTCTTCTATCTCCTTTTATTTTAGACTTCTCTTTACTAAACTGCCCAAACAGGATGTTTGTTCTTCAGTCTCACTGTGCACTGATTTGTCTGTATCTTTTTCAAAGTTCTACAGACAGTTTTTGAGCAACAGAGTAATTAAGTTACTCTGCAAGTAGCAGAAGTAACCTGGTGGCCTTATTAAAATGTCATTCTAGGGTGTATGCCTGCAGGTATGGCTGGGTTTTGTTTTTTGTTTTGTTGTTGGGGCTTTTTTCTTTTCTTGCCAACAGCATCAGGTTCCTGGCTCCTGTGTTTGCTAACACAGGAGCTCATACTGGTGTTTGTTGTATCTGCTGTCTCTTTCTTCAGTATAACTCCAATATATGAATTGGAATTATCTTTCCAAGGACTATAACCTTATACTGTATTGAAATCAGTCTTTATTTTGGGTTAGTTTTCTTCTGTTTAGCATTTTTAGACTTAGCAGAGTGTGCACTTACTGCTCTTCCTTATCTTTTTCCCAGCTCGTGCAATCCCTGTGGCTTTTGAACATAAGCCTGCTCTACAACAGGAAATTTGGATTGAGGACAAGTTCTCCTAGGGTTAGATGCATTTTCCACAAAACAGACCTCACTGGTCTGTTTTGTACATGTGCTGTCTTTTGGAGTAAATTGTATTTCTGAGGTAATGTCTGTTAGTGCAACTGTACCTGAACCAGCCTTTTGCCATCTTGAGATGTCATATGGTCCAGTGATGTAGCAGAAGAAATTTTGATCCTGTAGGCATGTTTTATTGGAAGAATTGCAGAGTCAGCTATGGGACAGATGTGTTCAGCATGTTCCCTGGTTTTACTCCATTTTATCAGACTTATGTAAATGCTTTTATCCATAATTTTTGATAGATCACAGATGGGACAAATTTTGCAATTCTTTCAACAGTGTGTTCTTCACAAAAATTTAAATGGACACCAATAATGATTACTAGAGAAGTCCCTTTTTTAGTTTCTTGCAGGAAGAAATATTCAAGCAGTCAATGTTGATTGCATCTCACCTGTCCTTAAAATTATTTTAAAATAATTTAGACAAGAGGTCTGTAAATGTTAACAGTTTAAATGCCATGTCACTGGAAGTACACGTAGTCTCATCTTTGAACAAACATTTGAAAACTGGAAAAATCTGGATCAAGCTGTTTGAATTT